GGTAAGCGAATGGTGTCTTTTGATGTGTGTAATTTAGTTACAAATGTCTCATTGGAATAGACGCTGAACGTCATAGGCACTTACTAGGATCGAGTGGGGTTTCCACCACACCAACTAAAGAACTTAATTCGTATCTGTACAAAAGATGCTCAAATCTGTTTCAATAGAAGTCCCTATCGGCAGATTGAGGGTGCAGTGATGGGCAGTCCACTTGGCTCCACTTTGGTTGACATCTTCGTAGCCCATGTACAGAACACCAAATTATATCAGTCCATACAGGAAGCACACTTGTACGCTCCACAAACTTTGTGGTTGTGCACGAAGTCCAGCAAGCGGAAAGCATGTCCAAAACCTTTAAGGAATGTCATCCAGAGATCGAACTCACCATGGAAAGCGAAACATCAGGGAAGTTCCACTTCTTTGATGTAGCTTTGGAAGGATCAAATGGGTCAATCCTGAGATCAATTTATCACAAACCTAGTTGGACTCGGCAATACCTAAAGTTTGTCAGCTACTGCCCCATGAGCTACAAGCGCTCCCTGGTTCGTGCATCTTTTGTGAGAACCCGCCGTATCTGTTCAGAGGAAACCATTGAAGAAGAACTACAAAGAATAGCATCCACCATGACAAGTTTATTTCAAGCTATGGGGAGAAAACCAAGCTGCACGAAGAGTAAACTGAAGCTTCAAAGAAGAATATTCATCGCACTGCCTCACAAAGGAGAAGAAAATGACAAACCATCCTGCTTTCGCTTACATCACGCTATAGAGATCTGTCACTATACAGCTGAGCTTGGTTTGCTCCACAGAGTCAAAAAGCCACTACATGAATCCAATTTGGACAGGCCTCACTTTACTGTCATCGTCTCATGTTTTTATCAGTTTAACTACTTGCGGTAGAATGTACATCGGCCCGACAGGGAGGGGTTGCCCACTCGGATTTCAGTACACGTTCCGCGTAACCTTGCTTTCATTGGTGCAACATTACCTACCAGCTCCGTCGCCTTGCACTTATACGACTGCTCGATGTGCAGGAATCCGCAAGAAGCCTTCAAGGTCAGCAACAGACAGAGCAACCCCAAGTTGTTGCGATTTGCTAAGGCTTCCGCGGTCCGTCGTTTGAAACCTAACCTATGTCAACAACTTGTTTTTGGCCAATCTTGCCTTACCTTGTTGAGGGAAGACAGGCTAGCCAACGCAACTAACCAACGATTTCTGGTACTGACCTATCACTCCCAAGCGTTTGAACTTTTCCTCCATGGTATGTAAGCGGCTGAAGAGAACACATGAAATATACTGACTTCAGATTAATCCGCAGAAATGTTCGTTAATCTCTATTCTTTTGAAACAACCACCTAGCCGAGCTGCTGAAGTGTCCAGGCGACCTACTTGTGTATTCATATCCCCTGCATGTGCTACGACATCAGAACTGGTAGCCCTGCGTAGTAGTGTGTTCAGTTCGTGATAGCACGTGTCCTTGCCAGTATCAGAACTGCAGTTGTTTGGGACATAAGCGGAAACCACCAAAAAACAGTGTCTAGAACGACTAGGTGAATAAAACTTAGTTGATGTCGTCAAACGGGCTGCACACAAACGGCTGCACACAAACGGTAACTCGGTATTGGAGCTGAGAACGATGTCCATACCAACTTGACCAGAGATTACCTCATCAGCTTCTCCGGATGCGTGCAACCAATAGCGAGAGGACAAACCGGGCGCAGTTAATGCAACAACTCCATGTGGGTCACTGATCCTAGTTTTGGATATACAACACACGTCAATACCCAGTGTGTCTAACGTGTGTGCTAGTGCAGCCTGTTGACCTCTTTGTCGTAGAGTGCGAATGTGAAACGCTGCCAAGGAAACAAGACAGTGTGGCCTTATAAGGAGCTGTTGGAGATTGGTGTCTAGTGGGTGATGTGGGAAGGTAGCTGCAGATGGTGTGACTCCAGTGGCATTGTGGCCTTTGTCAATTTGGCTGAGAATTATAAAAGAAAGGTTAGTAATGGGGACTGGGAGGGGAATAAGAGAAACAGGTGGAAAGGAAAAAAGGGAGGCGCTGACAGTAGCCTGTTTTCGCTTATCCGCCCTGCTGTATACAGCAGATAAAGCGCCCCTTGACAACCTGCACGACGGTCGACGCAAGATGTGGATGAAGTTTGAAGAAGTACTCAGGGTTGTACGTGGGCCGAGATACTGCCAGGGCGTCTAGACCTAGGTAGGAGAACGATTAGGGTCTTCAGCCAAAGTCTTTGGTTCAAAAGCTTGTCCGCATGGCAGCGGATGTGACGAGGATTCGGTGTTACATAAATAGACGCCATCCGATATCAAACGCCCAACCTGGAGGACCAGGAGACTTAGTTTATATCGTACACCTAAACATTGACTCACCTGGTAGGAATAGCTCTCAAGGGGCCCGAGGGCGCCACCCAGTTTAGCTCAATGGGCTGAAGATACTCGCAAACCGTCGCCCCATGTTTAGATCCAGTCTCGTTTTGACGGGTTTATCAGATCACGGCTGAGTTTCGGTACAGCGTTTGTCAATAATGTGCGTCCGGTTAAGTGGTGAGTTATTTAGCCTCTTGTACTTAGCAAACAAACGGGTACTATTCACCGGCTCTTCTACGTAGCTACAGTGGATGACCAAATGGAGAGATGTTGATGATGCGAAAGGTGCGTCTAATCCATTAAAATTTCACCGGGCTGTGCCAACACACAGGGTGCACTCATCCTAAAGGTAACTGCATTCAAGATTTAGGAACATAATTCCAACCAGCCACCTTAGATCACCTGCATCAGAATGAAGATATCGTCATGGAAAATGCAAGCCTAAATACGCCGAAAATATGTAAGCAAACCACAAAGTCACTGGAGTCAACATTCGCATTCATCGCTGCGTTTAAAAGAGCAGCAGTTTTAATGGTTCTAGCTCTCAATGTGGCGTTTCACCATGGAATTTCGTGCAGACACATGTACCATTCGGTCATAAAGCTCCGTGAGCAACGCTTTTCCTTGTGTTTATGAATTCCCTGGAATCTCTGGGACAGCATAGGTGTCGCGGTTTAAAAACAAAGTGAGTACCTAAAACCCCAACAATTTATCCCTAAGTGATGTGCCGCGTATTTCCAAAATAGCTTGGCCGTGTTGATTCGAAGGCACCTTTTCGCATTCTCTACGCCAACAAGCTTAAATGATACACGAGGTCAAGTCACTTAGATAAGAATTCAGCAGTACATTCTTAGGTGCATTGTCATATAACATTCTTCTAAAGATACGGTACGTTAGTACCGCAATGTAAGATCACACAGCCCAACAAAGTGACGACAATAAAGCTCACATCTGGTGAATTGAAGACGCCGCAGTAGAAAATTGTGTATACACTATCAATACACACACGAATAGTCGCTACGTCCACAAATTCTGCAGCGTGTTTCCGGTAAGAGATATCTCATTGTGTTCGTGGTAAATGAACCTGGCTATTTGAGGTAGACCGAAAAAACATCAAAGAAAACAAATCGGCAGTTCGGTCTCCTGCTTGCAGCGTTCGGAAATTTCGACGCATCAATGTTTCCACAAATGCCTGACGGGTACGTGATGCCGCAGATGAACTAAGCTGTTCAGGCGTGACAGACCTGGCAGAACCACCCCCTCACCGCACTTGGAAATGCACAACGCAACACAATAAGGATCTTATGGGATTGTTCTCCCTTCCCTACTAACTCAGGCCGGAAACTCTAAGAGTGTACTGCGGATGTTATTGACGTCTACAGAACGATCTCATAATAGCGCATCCGATCCTGAAAAATACTCAACCGCACCTGCCGCCGTCTTCTGCAACCCATCCAAAACACATTTCCAAGAGTAATCCGTTTAAAGTGACCACGTAGTGAACCTTCACTTCCAGGACCTACCTCCAAGCACACATGATTAATTCCCTCACCTTATCCCTGTAGAAAAGACGACTTGACGACACACTGGCACACATAAAATACGTGGCATATCCTGTGAACATGGAATAATGGCATTAAGGTAGGACGAACTGTAGCACATCGCCCTTAATCTCCAGACAGGAGTACTTACATCTGTGCTAGTGTGCAATCCTTGGTGAGTCCAGCAACATGTGCCGTTTTATATTCACACAGCTTTCAGTTTGTGCATTTACGCTGACTATCTTACACCACTTAGCAATCATCCGCTTTCCTAACGGTTATAAACCATTTCTCAAATACCATTATCACTATCTGAGAGTAGAATCTTCCACGCGCTTCTTATTAATCCGACACACGAATATATACATCAGATATGTCGTTTTCCAGAGAGAGATACATGTCGCATTTTTAGACCCGATACCAAAGCCCTCTGTGGTATTGCAGTCAGCAATTGCGGAGCGCTAGTGGTTTACTGTTAGCAACCAAGTAACCGTCTAGCGGGTTAGCTAGCCTACAAGTGGTCTAAGTACTGTATGCTAGCAAAACCGTTACTTAGCTCCTCACTAGGCAAGTGCAGGTTACCCCCAAATTGGATCTGCGAAAGAAATGAAGTGATGACCGATGCACACACCGAGTGAGAGAATCTATCAATTGGTCCAATTAGCGAGCCTCTGAGTACATTTAAATCATTTCTGAATGGGTGTCATTATGACATCAACGTTACTTCAATCGGTGGTCTAGATAGAGATCACTATTCTCAGCTTATGAGCACTAAACTTGTAGTAAGCTAAGGAGAACAATGTCTTTCTTGCTTTGGTGTTAGTGGGCTTCACATGGCTAAAGCGTAAAATTAACTTCCAGGCAACGGTCCTATAGTTTTTTGATCAGTATGGCACTGTTGCGGCACAATTCCTTCTGTTCTACCAACTTGACCTTTACTATGTCATTGGGAAAATAGTGTGGTTCCGCTCATATATACTCACAATAGTTTATCCAAGTAACCTTGTCAACTTTCTATAAAAAGTGAATGAACATCAGTAAGTTTTACCTTTATATTGTAAGTAGGACTCACCACACTTCACAGCTTTTCCAAATGGAACGTCTTTTAATGCGACCGCCGCTTCTCGGGTCGCCATAACACTCCAAAGCTTGTCCAGAGCTGCTCTTACTGCCTGACACACTGCGTCTGTAGTCCGTTGGCCCAGTGAGAGTATGACATCATCGGCAGCACTGGCTATTTGTAAAGCCGTTTTGATTGTCTGCGCGCGATGAACAGCGCCACGACCTCCCAAGGATTCAGGTTGTGAGGGCCATTCTGAAGGGTTCACCGGCGCCGTACTACTAGTGATGGTATTTCTGACTGGACGTTTAGGCATGTCGCTGGCCAATTCTTCAGGAGTCCCTTTGCTGGATGCATCAGTTGTCGATGTGGGGAGCTTGCGGGCAACACCTACAGAAGTGGGCAATAAAATTATTATCCAAAGGCCAAGCGACTTTGTCGAAAATAAGTGAAATATGTCAGATTGAAGTCGGACTCTAAGCGTTTATAGTTGGATGAGGTCGCGGCTGACGAAGGATAAAGTACGGTCCTTTGGTTGTTCAGAGTGATTGGTACGGAAAGGTAGAGTTATCCACTCAGATGACTGCGTCAGAGGTGAGAGAGTGAATTAGGCATAAGTCAAAGTAATTAACTCTCAACAAGAGTATGTCAACAAATCCGAAATCATGAATACTAATAAGCGAAAGCATTGTCATCGGATTGTATCACAAAACACTTCTATCCGTAGTACTTCCCACCTAATCAACTATTTTCATGATCCCGAAGCCCCTCGCTCAGCTAAAATTTACGATCAGTTCTTCGATCGTTTCTGTTTCAGGAGGATCTAGCCCAGCTAGCAATCACCAAAAGAATGACCACATAGCAGCAAAACTGAATATACGCAAACACGCGACGCATCTTTCACTGCGGAACAAATGATCCACAGCTATAAGCAAGCATGCAAAAACACCACGGTGAGGAACAATATTTCGCTACTGGCGTCTTCCAAGTATAGAATAATCTCACGGCTTTGGCTGAACATTTTAGCTAACGAAGCTGCTCCATTGGTATTCTGCATCAGTAACGCTTAGGTATAAGAATGCGCTCAACAGTTTGAAGCGTGTGTTCGATAAGTATCTGCCTCGAGTGTTACGAAAACCTCGATATTCCTACTGATACCAACAAACAGCGATTTGGAGAACTGGAGAACTCTTGGAGTATCTCGGTTGCTCGCTTTAAGTGGTATCGGGCCGAAATATGTTAAGAAGCTGACTCAGTGCGTGAAACGTTGGAGTGAACATCTCAACTGATCACATTACATAGCCCACACCTAGTCAAACCAAAAGACCCGGCCAACCTACTTAAGGTTTCGGATACATTAATACAACTAGGGAAACCAGTTTATCTTGATCTGTAGCTCCAAATGAAGACAGTGACCTTAACTACTTAGTTGGCTCTTAAGCTATGCTGTTAACAACGGAAGTTCCGGTGGTTGCAGGAATAAAGTTGGTTGTTCACACAGAAGTCATGATCTCAAAAATTACCGGACTTGTGACCCTACTTTTCTAAAGCTGGGAAAATGGGCAATGGCGTCGTAATAATAAGTTCAGGTTACCGGTAGGTTCGCGCTCAAATATTGGCTGATAGTTTTGAAAAACCCAACATATTTACAGAAGGGAATCGAAAATCGTACCGGCCCTTCGCAACCTGTCAAAAACTGTGGGCCTATTCAGTAACGAACAATGAATTTTTACGAATTAGAAAGCGTTGTTTTACAAGTCGCGTTTAATAGTTGGTGGGGATACCGAAATATTACTAATACTACTACTAATAATACTAATAAAACAGTTAGTACTTTAGTATGAAAACAAGGGCTTATCGTTTGCTCCACTGTGGTCTTGCAGTCCGCTTAGATTCACAGCACCCATAGTTAACATCCAATAATTTCGTGGTAAACTCCAGGCGTAGGATCCAGACGTTGCACTAAGTGACAAAGTGTAAGTGGATAAGTGCGTTATCCATCCGTCTTCTAAATACTGTTAGTGTCGGTGCAGAGACAACCGATTCTGGAAGAGCAGTCCACAGCTGACAGACACGAAGAGAAAAGAAATTTCTTCGGCACTCCAGGCGGCTACACAAATCTGCGAGTTTCAATGAGTGACCCGTCAGATTTGTATTGGTGCCGAGCTTTAGTTAGAATTGGCACATATGATGTGCGAACCGCAGAATCAAGTATGCCATTATCAGGTCGCCTCGTAGTCTGCGATAGCTCCCACTGAATACCGCCAATCGTCGCAGCCTCACCTGGTATGAAAGATTGCGCATTCCAATTACATTCTTAGATGCCCAACGTTGCGGCTGCTTCAGTGCATTAAAGTCGTGTTTCAACCGTGGATGTCAGGCTTGCATTACTTATTCAACATGGGAGCGAACATACGCACTGAGCATTTGTCGAAATATGGAGCTGTTTATTTGTCCGAACGCCCGTTGCAACAAGCCGACGTGTTGGTTCCCAGTGTTCGAGGCCTTTTCGGATTGCCTGGAACAACCCAAGTCATCTTGAATCAAGACACCCAAGTCACGTTCGACAGTTGATTGTTGCAGTACATTCGTTCCGAGTCGGTATAAGTAGTTGCTCTGATGTCGGATGGAAAGCACCTCGCATTTACTGACGTTAAAATGCAATAAGTTTAGAGTCGACCATGGATACACGGTATCTAGGTCACACTAAAGAAGATGCGAGTTGGCATTCATCTGGATCCTTCGCCGAATCTTGATATCGACGACAAACATTAGGAGGTTTGAAGCGATTCACTGTGCAAGTCATTATTAAACATCAAAAGCAAACGTGGACCTAAAACTGAGACTTGCGGTACACCACATCTGACTTGTTTGGGGTCCGATAAAGAGCTCCGAACTCTGACCACTAATTGCCAATGAAGTAGGAAGCTGGCAACCCAGCTTAGAATAGGGTCGCCGTTCCTGTAATGCTAGAGCTTGGAGAGTAGTTTCCGAAGGTTTATACGATCGAAAGCCTTGGAGAAAGCCGGGTAGTTAACATCAATGCATTCTCCAGCGTCAGCTGACTCGGTCCAACTACTGCGCGTGATTTGTAAATTCCTTTTGCATGACGGCTGTCGACGGGAGCCGTGCTGCTTAAGCGTCATGATGTTACAGGTTTCCAGCTAACACGCCAGTACATCGGTAACTATGGATTTCATGAGTATATGAAGAAATGAAACTGGGCGGTAGTTGGAGGGCTCAAGTCTGCTTCCACCTTCATGAATCGGGGTTATTATTTCAAGATTCCACGTAACGGGAATCTGATTCTGGTCTCAGCATCGCTGGAAAAACTGAGCTAAAGGTCCTGCCAGTTGGCTTGCTGCTTCTCCAAGTGTCTCTGGACGAATGGTAATGACACCCGGCGAGTTGTATTTGCGTAGAGACGTCCGCTTTTGCAATACAGTCTCCGCGGTAAAAGTGATGTGGGTTGGTCATGGCGAAGAGACGATAAAGAATGGAAGATCGTTTGGTGGAAAGACCTGTAACGTGGGGGCACGTTGCATCCGCAGCGTGTTTGCTGCTTCCATAACCGTTCTTGTTAAGCCATCAGCCATTCTGAGTGGAGGAAAGCCTTGCCTCACCATTCGTTGGCTATTAACGTGCTTGTACAGCAGTTTGTGGTTAGCACTGAAGGTTTCTGAGATGTTCTGCTGATATGCGGTTTTGTCTACTCCTAGCAGTTTAGTAAAGTGGTTAGTTGGGCTACGTATCTATCCCAAGTTTCTTGTGCTGGAACTTCTCTGTACACTCACCATGCTGCGCTGCGTAATGTCACCCATTTTCGAGTTCTGCTCTTAACGAAGGAAACTGATGTACACTTATTGTAAACCCTTTATTCTGAAGCCTCTGCAATCAGCTGACTGAATTTGTTGATGAACTCTAACGATGCGACTTCCGTGTGTTATTCGGCAAGGATCGACCAAGTTGTAGCGCTGACGAGCTGGGCTAATCGATCGTAGCTTGTGTTGATTCGCACGGTCTCATCGTGCGCATTCCGACATTCCGCATTACAGACGAAGTTGAAACTGATCACTGCGACCCAACGTGCAGTCTAAAACCAACACACCAATCATATGCTTCTTGTTGGTAAGCATAAGATCCAACACAGATGGCCTGTTGTCTGTTCTGAACGGAGTTGGAAATGTGAGTTGATTGTAAAGAGGAAGAGTAATTACGAGATCTTGTTGATTGGCTTTAAATTGTTCTCTGATCGTATCAGAAGTTTCTACACACTGCCCGTTGAAATCACGCATGATACGTATGTGAGTGTACTTTTGATGTAACCTGTATCTTGAATCAGCTGCCAGGTGGCAGTCAGCTTCGGGTGTAGAGTTAGGGGGCGGTACACCAAGACAAGAAAAGCGCCCCTGCCTTTTAACTGCAAGCAGCACCATAGAGAATTAGGGAACTGTGAGTCTGAATCCTCCACGGTTTTGCACTGTAATTCGTCTCAGTACTACAGGATTGCCCCTTCTCCTTTTGTGAGCCTATCGTTCTGGATCAGCGACGTGCCCGGTAGCGAAACTTCAGCGTCCGTCATGCCCGTGTACAACCACGTCTCGGAGATACCAATGATATCATATGACCCGGAAGCTTGGCGATCTTTCAGTTCGGCCAGTTTATTACAAAGACTCTGAGCATTCGCATACAGACAGGCCAGTTTCTCGGTCTCTAGGAGTCCACGGAAGGGTAAAGGGGTCAAATGTGAGAGAATGTCGACCGATGGGAGGTCGGCAGTTACTCGTTAGTTGATGGGATAACGAAACCTCGTCTGAACTTTGGTTCAGCCAAGGTGCGTCCCAACCTTCATTTAGACCTACGTCATAGTCAATTAAAGCAGCAATCAAGTTACGCTTCTGTACATTCGTCGGTACGCTTGCTGCTTCAGGCGATTTGATATTTGAATTATGCAAAACTTTTGCGACCTTTAACCTAAGTTCAGAAGGAAGACATTTCCGATTTCTCCGTCATCGATCACAAACCGCCGTTTCACGTTGCGCTGACCGAACCGTGTTTTAGGATTCTAGGGCCGCATCCTCTATAATTTGGTGAGAGAGAGCCATCCTAATAAGCAATAGCGCCACAATATTATCCAAAGAAGGGATTTCACGAATGAACCGCCATCTTACTAAATTGTGCTTTCCGGTCTCTTGAACATCATTAGAAGGATGTTCTGCCACGCCATGTATGAATATTGTGTGTAGGCGGTCTTGCTTGCTATGTCCGTCTTCGGCCTTTCTTTTTGATTGTCGCACTCCAAGGGACATCAGGATAGATACGTATCTCACAGGATCCGTGTTTTAACGCGCTTGCGGAGTGCAAAACGTTTTCTACCTCGGTGGGGGATT